AGCATGTTTCTGGACACCAGTGTTTCTCAGGGCACCAGGGTAAGTACAGGAGGGCCCATGTACTAGTCTCACACAGTCCCCCAAGCACCGGTCCCCGGTTCCCCATCCTGCCGAGGCTGTCCTCCCCAAGGAAATGGACACTCTCCCTCATGGGATGTACGAAAGAGCACCAGTCCCTTAGGCTGAGGCCTCTGGCAAGTCCCAGCCCTTCCCAGGGCCTGTTTTTGCATGGGGAGGAGTAGGACCAGATGGGGTCCACCACCCAAACATGATGTCCTGCAGTTTCCAAAACACATTAGCCCACAGCTGATGCTCACAATAATCCCGTTTCTCCCCACGGACCATCCCTTATAGGCCCCTGTGCCTGTGTGGACTGCCCTGGCCCCCTTGGTAGGTGAGGGCTGCTCTACTGCTTCCGGGGGCTCGGGGGCAATTTCTTCTCCAGCTGTGGTTTCTGGCAGGATCCACAATCCAAGAAACAAGCAACCACCCCTTTTACCTCCCCACCCCTATGGCACAGAAAGCAAACAGACCTTGAACTCCAAATGCTTGCTGAGGCTCCCCACAAATCTCAAAGCCTTATTCCTAAAGGGACAGGAAGTAGACTGTTATGTTTCGGCATGGCTCAAAGCCTGAGCTTGTATCACATGGACCCAGGCAGCTGGCCCCGTGGAGATTGGTACCACAGATAAAATCTTCCCAGCTTCTAAAATTATATTAGTGGTAATTTGGGAGGACAAATACTAAGCAACCTGGACCTTTGTTAAATGCCTTACCTACCTCATTTAATCCTTGAAATACCCCATGGAGCGGACTATTACTACTCCCACACACCAGCAATGAATGGCAACAATTGGCATGCCCCAGCCCCAAGCACACATTCATTAAAATGTGAGCCCACCTCCCCGAAGAACCCCCTTAAAAACATGCTTTTTCTTATACACCCTACTAGGAAGTAATTTCAGAAACAAAATACTATGGGAATTTTTTTTTTTGAGTCAGGGTCTCACTCTGTCACCCAAGCTGGAGTGCAGTGTAGTGGCTCACAGTAGCTTTGACCTCTTGGGCTCAAGCCATCTCCTGCCTCAGTCTCCCGAGTAGCTGGGACTACAGGTGCATGCCATCATGCCTTGTTAAATTTTTTTGATTTTTGTAGAGATGAGGTCTTGCTATGCTGCCCAGGCTCGTTTCAAACTCCTGGGCTCAAGCAATCCTCCTGCTCTCAAAGTGCTGGGATTACAGGCATAAGCCACTGCGTTCTGCTGGGGATTTTTTTTTTATAAGCCATGGGGGTGGGGGCAAAACCCTGCACACACCTGTCACATCCATCCATAGAAGCACAATGGAATTGCTGGCAGCTTCCCCAGGCTCAGTCCCCATCCTACAGGTGCTGCGTTTTACTCCCAAATGGAGTAAGGGGGGGCTGGGTATGTCTACACTTTACACCCAAATATAGTAATGGAGTGTGTCTGGAGGTCCTTTTCCTCGATGGCTTCACCACCATGCTGCCCTCATCAGCAGAAGGCACAAGGTTTGTCCATGAAGTACCCTTCCTTCCCTTTGCCAAATAAAGGGGACACTGTGGAAGGCAGAGCAGAGAAAGGAAACCAGATCCTGTTGGCGTCACTGAGCCACTTGGACCAACACAACCCTGAAACTCACCCCACCTTTGGACTTTCCAGTTTCAGGAGCCAAAAACTTCCCCTCATTGTTTCGGTCAGTTTGAATTGGGTTTTCTGTTACCTGTGACTGTAAACGTACTCTCCTGGTACAAGAGCAAGGTCCATCTGCTCCTGGCATCGTCCAACAGTGGATGGCGTGACCATGAAGATACACCATGGGTCAGTATATTAAGTGACACTAATCATAAAATACTATGTAAAATGATTCCATTCATGTGATCATCTGAATATGCATGGCCCTTTTCTGGAAGGATATTTAATAGTAGTTGTCTCTGGGGAATAGAAGACAGCCTTTTCACTTCACACTTCCATGTTTAGATTGCTTTTACTTACGTATATTAAAAAGACCAGTTTAAAAGTTGTTTGAGGTGACAAAATCACAGTCCAAAGTGATCATTTATTTTGGTAGTTATTAAATCATGCTTTTGAAGCCTTTGCTGGAATACGAGATGCAGAGCACAGAGAGAAAGCTGAGTGAAGAAGTCATTGTTTCAGAGTAAGAAGACTCACTTTTTCCCTCTCCAAAGCTAACGTTGGCAACTTCACCAGAAGAGCATCCACTTAAACGTGCCTAACTTTTCTTTCATCCCAAAGTTACACAATAACTCCAGTTTGGCAAAGCCCACTTCACCTCCATCCTAAGGCACCTTGGAGATGCCACAGGCATTTGAGAATGAAATGACTTTAGTGCAGCCTCAAGCAGGGAAGTACAAGTCTTGCCGACTTTATAAGGAGTTTAAAAGGCCCCAGAGATGCAAGGTTCTCTGGATTTTTAGAGAGAGCACCCAGGTGAATGAGAACAGGATTGAAGGTAGTCCTCGGCCCTTGAAGGCCAGGCAGCATTCTCCTGGGCACAATGACAGACACAAGCAAAGGGAAACACCATTACCAAGATTCATCATGGGAGACATGTTCCTATTGACCGGCATCTAAAAACTCTGTGGCCTGACACCCCCGCATGTCCATAGAGCTGGAAAGACCCACCTGTGAAGGTCATACAGGACTCTCCTTCCCCTCTCATCCAGTACAGCTGAAGGCATTGGACCAGTGGGTAACAGGGCTGACACACCTGACACCTGGGCAGGGACCTTCCCACGACAGCAGGATGCCTCAGGTGCTGGGACCACTGCAACCTTCCTCCTTCCTCCAGTCTATATCCCTCTGGGCTGCAGGCTGAGAAGCCATGAGGTCAGCCCCCCTCCTCTCCGTAAGCCCTCCAACTCTGCAGCAGCTCACACTCATATGCATGTCCATCACCGCCCCCAGCAGCCTCTGCATGGCATCTCCTTGAGAAAGGCAGTGTCTGATCCCCACTGTCCAGCACAGGAAGTCCTTCATAGGCTTACTGGGTGGATGATAGCTTTTGCTTACTTCAGAAATGCTAAACCAGAGACCAGTCTGTGAACACCCAGTGCCCTCTGCAGCTGTGGCTTGACAAAGGCATAAGCCTGCTGCCCAGAGGAAAGGGCCTCTAACCCAGAATGGGGTTAAATTCCTCCAGGTAATACCAGGCTTTCTCATGGGTCCCTCAGACCAAACTAGACACCCAAATTCAGGTACAAGCCAAGGGATTGACACTCTTCCACCTTTCTTAAATGCCTGCCCACCTGCCACAGGGCCCAGTGAACTGCACGATCTCAGGAAAGTAACTCTGTTCAGCCTTGCCCTCTGGGCTGATTTTGCTTAGCAGGGCCAATTAGAGATTCCAGGACCAAATCTCCTATTTCACCTGCAGGTAGAGATTCTGGAGGAAGGTGTCCAGGGATTGAACCTAACCCTCCCCAATCCTTGACAGTAACTTACCTTTTTCTGAGTCTAACATTTTGAGCAGAAAATGGCTTCCTCAGAGCTGTTCTGGTGGCTGAATGAGTTTATTATCTGTAAGGTACTCTGAACACTTCCTATTTTCCGGGAAAGTTCTGTATCCATTAATTTTTATTACAATTCACGTGGAGAAAGCAAGTGCCAGACTTCTTGGGGACCAGCACAGATGGTTTTCCCGCTGGGCTTACACCCCTGCCCTGAGAGAAGTGGGGATCCCTGGAGACTGGTGAGGACAGTGGCAGCTGCAGCCAGAGGCCAGAGGAGGATGAACAAGAGAGGATAAGAGAGGTGAGTCTGCTGGGTCTATGAAGAAGAACACTTGGAGGAGAGGGTGGTCCACAGTGTCAGGTGCTAGAGGCCAAAAGAGGCCCGGTGTTGATGGTAGGATAAGCGGCTTTCAGACAAGGAGATAGAGAAAGGGGTGGCAGAAGGAGGGGTACAGACAGCCCAGGTAGAAGCTGCCCAGGGAAGAAACAGAAGGAGGCAACAGGGTCAGGGCAAATGTTTAGGATGGAGTAAGGAAGGCCAGAGACAGGAAAAATAACACAGCAAAGTCCCTAAAGGTGGTGGGCAGGAATCTCAGGCAAGAAAGAGACCCTGAAACTCTAAGGGGAGCATGCATGGAGGTCAGGGCTAGGAGAGAGTAAAGAAGTCACACACTGGCCACCACCCTAGTCTTGGAGGACAGGGAAGGTGAGGATTCAGGGCAGACCAGTGCTGGGCAGGGAGTGAGCAGGGGGTCTGTCCTGTGCCTTCAGGTAGAGCCCATGTTTGCTGCAGATGGCCACACACAAACCTCTTTACCCTCGTTTTTTTCTTTCCTCATCCAACTACTCAGAGTCAGATGAAATGGTTTAAAATGGCCAAGAACTTCTATAAACTAATTGGAAAACAAACCCAACTGTGAAAACGCCACAGCTGGACTTCACTTGAGCCAAGTCTATATAAATAGATGGGATGGGAGAGGTCAGCAGGAGCCTTCCAGGAGCTATTGGTGCCAATGCACTGGCAGGGGCCTGCAGTCACCCACTTTTGCAGGGCAGGCTGGGTCAGAGACACCGGGCGAGGAAGATACCGCCACTAACCCCCTTCATAGACAGGCCAAGCAAGTCCAGAACTTCAACCAGTCTAGACTTCAACCCAGAGTTCCCAAGTTCTTCTGTGTGGATCAGTAAGTAGTATTGCTCAGGGCCTGAGAGAGATAACCTAAAGTGATGCTTCCTCTGGGCCTATAGAGTCAAAGATTTTTCCAGCTCATGCTTACAGCTGGAGGCAACTAAGCCACAAGTCAACTTATTCGGGTTGCAGCCTGCATACAAGTAACTGATTGTTGAAAGTGGCACCACATAGAATATTTAAAAAAAAAATCACTCAGGAAATTTATGTCCGATTGTACCAACAATGAATTGCCTTTACCATCTGTCCTTCTGTAAGGTCTAGTCTCACCCTATCCCACTGATTCCCCTGGCACTGAATTTACCACTGAGATGCTTAGTGCCATCTTGGTAAAGACCCAAAGCAAAAATGACCAAAACAACAACATTAATATAAAGATATATTCCATAAAAGAGTTTGGCAGTCAAAGAGAAGCATCACACTTCCTAAAAAAACAAGCATTCTTCCGCTAGTCTACAGAGAATTGTTAAAAAAAAAAAAAGATATCATCATCATCGACAAACGGCCACCAGTATAACCAGTATACACCACACTAGAATGTACACTTCAGCAAGTAACTAAAGGTCGCACTCAATCCCTGAATGATGAAAAGAAAAGTGGTGCAAGCTATGGAGAAGCATTAGAAAGTAGCCCAGCTAAAAATGGGCAAATGCCCCAGCTATCCCCAGGGGGTTATTCAGTACTTAAGACGACATCATTTCTAAGAGCAAGCCCCAGAACAGCCCTGAAAGAAAGAGTGGACACAGGGACCACAGATTTCCCATTAGGGGAAGTCACCACAAAAGCCAGAAATAAAACATCCCAAGCTTCTGAGCAGGTGTAGCCTGGGGTCTGTGGCTCAGCACAGGGCCTGGCCACAGAAAAGCTGCTCGCTCCAGAGAGAGGCAAATAGCAGGCTGGTCAGCTCTGGGTACATGTCCGTGAAGAGCCCTGGTCGAGGGTTTCAGGCTGGCCATCTTGTGCTGGGATTTCCTGGCCCTGCAGTGGGGAGTGAGGGTTAGGATTCAAGTTCTGAGTGACAATTTCAGTAGCACCAAGACCAGAAGACAGTGAGGCCAAGCTGGGGAGTGGGGGGTGTCTGTGTGTGGGGATGCATGGAGGAAGGGTGCACGTCTGTGGAGGGGAAGGAGAGGCTATTGTGGGCTGGTTATTGAGACACTCGAGGGAACAGAAAAGGTTGGCTCCAGCCATAGACATCACATAAGGCTGCTTAAGGAGAATGCCAGAGGAAAGGAAGAAGAAATGAAGAAATGGTGTGAGAACGCTCTTACCCCTATAAATAAACTATTTACACGCTTTAAGAAAAGGAGAGCCGGCTCTCAGTGAAGAGCCATGCCCACCGCCCCACCGGTGCCATCAGGACTTAATGCTATTGAGACCGAGGCAGTTCTCATGCTAGGAGAACAGCTGACGGACCTGTGGGAGGGCAGCGGGCAAGGCACTCCCGTGGCACCAGTCCACGCACTGGCTCAGGCTTACTTCACTTAGACATGGCTGAGATCCTGCAAATGACCCCGGAAACATGCACACTGCTGCAGACCCCGCTGGCACACGGGGGTCAACTAGGGCCCCTCCTTTTCCCAAGTTAAGGGAAAAGCACTGTGCTGCTTGACATGAGAGAGAGAAGCCCTGCCCATGCCTACTAGTCCCTCTACCCATAGATGTGGATGACCCAAAGCAGACACTTGGACATCATGGTGAGAGGGTCAGGGTGTCCTGCAGACAACCTTGGGCTCCAGGAAGACCAAGTCAAGCCCTCCTTGCAACCATGTGAGCCCCATCTGTCCCTCAGAGTCACCACTCCACAAAAAGACACATTCTGTATCTCTGGGTAGACCCCAGAGGCGATGCAGTCACAAGTTTGGGTAGGTGACAAGGTGACCCCTCAGTCTTCAGCACCAGCAAGCAGAAACAGGTCACATCACGCTGATGCTAAAGATAGGACATTGGCTCCGGGTGGGTATAGGCTTCTCTCCCTCTGGATATAAGGTTGATGGCAGTGAAGGGCTTTGGCCTCCACGGTGTGGCTCAGCTCTGCGTGCGCTCGCCTCTGCTCCTCAGAAGTGATGGCCTGCTTTCACTGCCTCGATGTCTGAGATCAGGGTCCTCGCCAGGAAGATGCCAAATATCTGAAACCAAAACCAGCAGAGTCAGCAGCTATCAGTGCTGGGGCCCAAGGCAGAAGACAAGCAGGTGGTGTCCCGCTGCACATCACTCCTTCACCCACCCTGCCATGACTGAGGACACAGAGAGCAAAGCTCCAGCACATGGCAAAGTGGCGGGCCCACCAATGGAAAGGGAGGCCTGGGATCTAGTTTCCTGTATCCCTAGATCCTAGAAGAAGCAAACCACAGGCACCACAGAAGCAAAACGGACACACTGTTCTGCCTCCAATATGATTAAGCACGTCATATACCACGGGGCAGGACACAACTGTCCCTGGGTTAAACCAAAAATAACAGGGTCACCCTGACTTGTTTTGATTCCTAAAATAATACATCTTGAATGTTTCCCGTAAACCTAGATTCTGTTATAAAACTAAGGCTGTCCCTAATTTTGGCTGTGCTAATGTCTGAAAATGCATCCCGACCTTGGTGAACAGGAAAAGGATGAGGAAAGATTGATGTTCTTCTAACATGAACAGACTGGTGTGAACTTGGTAACCTTTAAAAGTTTGCTTGCTTTCTTTTTCCTTTAAATTCTTGTTGGGGTTCTTATTTGACAAGTCCTTCTGAAGCCTGATCCCCTTTCCTACTTTGCAAGTACATTTTTTCTTTCCCTTTCTAGATGCTTCGGTCTCTCAGTCTTGCTTTGAAGGAGAAAGGTATGTGTGGGTGGCTGGCAGTCCCAGGTCCACTTCAGTCACCCTCTTCCAAGGTAAGGTCAAAGTCAAATATTGTCATATGATGTATTTTCCACCCAAGAATGGTATCAGCTATCCCAGGAGCTGCTCAGAGGTTGTAAGCTTATTCTTACAAGCCCCAGGCAGCACTGGAAAGCCTCCTGATTTCTCAGACCACTGAATTCTTGATTTTCTCTGCCAGTTCTTTTGCTGGCACTAGTCAGCCCACTCACCCCAGGCCACACTGCCCCCTCAGCCACCAATGTCCTTCTAGGTGCGAGACCTGGTTCAAATAAACAAGTACAGCCTTGGAGGGGAAAGGAAGCCACAAAGGGCAGTGGGCCTCAGAGGGTCATGAGGACAGGGAAGATGCCTGAGAGCCCCAGCCTAGGTCCCAGGGACAAGGAGGAGAGGTCCTAGGGTGAGTGCACACACTTGAGCCTCAGGCCCCCTTCAAGCCCCAGCAGACTGACTACCACCTCCCACTCTCATGCTTCTACCATTATCCTCTCAAGTTTCAGAGAGGGATCCCAACCTTCAGAGAGGAAATGCACCCTTATGCAGCCTGCAGGGCCCTCTGGAGAGGGCTGCTGACAGGATCCCCTCCCCCAGCCTGCCCCACACATAGATGGCTTTCTTTTAGGTAGCAGACCACTGGGAGAGGGGATCATAGCCTGTTCTGGCCCAGCCCCTGAAACACAACAGTATGGAGGCCAACAGGCTCCTGCCAACACACACATGCAACCTTAGACACCCAACCGGATGCCTTTCTTTTTTTCTGTAATATCATATCCAAGCTAGGCAAGGACTTAATGTTAAGGGCCCAATTTCTTCAAATAAAAAAAGGTTACCAGCCAATTCTGAGGGTTCCTGGAACACACCTGCAGCAGTGAGATAGCAATGAAGACACCAGCCACGATGTAAATATTCCGCGGGAGCCAGCCCTCCAGTGCCTGGATACAGCCTTTCGTGAAGATGGACTCGTCCCATTTGCTCTTCAGCTGCAGGGAAATGCCACAGCCTGAGCCTGCGGTACATATGATGTTCCTGCCCCAGTTCCCTAGATCAGCACTTCCCAACCTTTTTGGCATCAGAGACTGGTTTCGTGGAAGACAATTTTTCCATGGATGGGGTATGCAGGGAGGGAGCAGGGAGAAATCATCAGGCATTAGATTCTCATAAGAAGCATGCAACCTAGATCCCTCGCATGCACAGGTCACATTAGGGTTCGCGCTCCTATGAGAATCTAACGCCACCACAGATCTGATAGGAGACAGAGCTCCGCTCGCCTATTGCTCACTTCCTGCTATGCAGTCTGGTTCCTAACAGGCCACAGACCAGTCCGTGGCCTGGGGGTTGGAGACCCCTGCCCTAGAGAGTTCCAGAAGGGAGCAGGGCAAAGGACAGTTGGGAATAAGGACTCCGAGAGGCAGGCACCAAAGACGGGCAGAACTCAGAACTCTCCAAGAGAAACTCAATCTACTTATCTCCATCTCTGCCCCTCACTGGGCAGCGTGCTATTCATCACCCATCTATCTGACCAAAGGTTCCCTGGCTATGATCTTTAACCCATTTGTCTTTAGGCTTTCAGAGATTTAAGGATCAACTTGCTCAAAACACACCTCAAAGCCCACATGTGAAGAAAGGAGGGCATGGAGGAGTAAGATGTGTGCCTTTAAAGGGAATGAAACTGGGAGAGGGATCCAGAGTCTTCTGAGTCAAGAGGAATTAGCAGGAGAAGGAAGGGAGAGTGGTCTCTCGGTGTGCATTCCACAGGGAAGCAAGGCACCAGGAGACGGAGCCAGCAGGTATTGTTCACCAGCCATTCAGTTGCCCCCAGCACCCACATCCACAGAGCATCAGTGAGCGCCCAACATACACCCCAGGCTTGCTCACCCCTCACCCCCCTTACAGTTCTCACCTATCACCTCCTCCATGGCAACACTGATGGAACATTAATTCACTTTAGTGGTGTTATGAGCTGAACTGTGTCTTTCTCAAAATTTATTTGTTGATGTCCTAACCCCCAATACCCTCAGAATGTGACGGTATCTGAATATAAGGTCTTACAGAGGTAATGAAGCTAAAATGAGGTCACTAGGGTAGGCCCTAATCCAATATGATTGATGTCCTAATAAGAAAAGGACACAAACATGCACAAAAGGAAGATCATATAATCATATAAAATCAGGGAGAAGATGGCCATCTGCAAGCCAAGGAGAGAGGTCTCAGAAGAAACCAACCCTGCCAACACCCTGATCTGAGCCTTCTAGTCTCTAAACTATGAGAAAATCAATTTCTGTTTATTCAACCACCTGGTCTGTAGTACTTTGTTACAGCAGCCTGAGCAAACTAATATAAGTGGCAAAGAAATTCATAGCTGGGGAAGCCAATGTAGATATAGGTCCTTGTCTTAGTCTACTCATAAACAAAATACCATAGACTGGGTGGCTTATAAACAACAGGAATTTATGTCACAGTTCTGGAGGCTGGGAGCCCAAGATCAAGGCTCTGGCAGATTCAGTGTCCATCCAGTGAGGGCCCACTTTCTGGTTTATAGACAGTGTCTTCTCACTGTGTTCTCACATGCTGTAAGAGGCAAATAAGCTCTCTGGGGCTTTTAGAAGGGCACTAATCCATTCATGAGGGCTCTGCCAAAGGCCCCATCCAAAGGCCCCATCATCAAAAACCATCACACTGGGGATTAAGTTTCAACATATGAATTGCAAGGAGACACGAACATTCAGTCTACAGTGGCTCATCCCTGCAGTAAGGACTCTTGAGTTTCCAAGGTACAGGTCCACATCCTTCAGGTCCATGGCTATAAAATGAGGGATCTGTGTAGATTCCCCAAGACCCCACCCTTTCAGAACAGCTGTCATTCCTATCACCAAAGCCTCCAGAGTAAAGACTGGATTGGAGGTGGGCCTTGCTTCTCTTGCCAACTAAGAGCACACTCCCTGCAGCCTGAAGGAAGCCCTGGAAGACAGAACTTCACCCCTGCTCCAGGCCAGTCTCCTTCCTTGTCACCACTGCCTCCATATGGAGGCTGGACAAAGCACACACTCCTTTAGCTTTATCCTGCGCCCTTCATAATAGATCTCTTCTGGGTCTCCAAGGAGCCTCTTAAAAACACAGTCTTTGTCCCTCAAAACTTCCATCCCATCTCTGTAATGCAGCAACTGCTAGGTTTGGGGACTGCAGTTCACGGGGCTTGAAATTACCACCTATCGCTGCTCCTGGGGCTCTTTCCACCAAAGTAGGAAGCAAGCTGTATGACACTGTGCCCTGCTCAGCTTGCCCCCAGCTTAGATGGCACCTTTGAGCTTAATCATCCCTAGTTTTCCCACTTCAATTTGCACTTGTGCTAAATCAGAAAGATGGACCCTAGCAAACAAAACCTAAAGAACTGTCAACCTAAAGAACTCTTAAATCTGTGCACATTGGAGTTCTCACCTGAATCCTCACATCATATCCACACTGCGTGTTCACAACTTTTTGCTGTAAGAAAAGCAGAAAAATTAGTCACTTTTGGTACTTCAAGAAGCACTGGTGGTAGGAGGCTCTAGAAAAATTACAACCAAACACCAGCAAACACCTGTGCATATTCAATTAGCGCTCATGTCCTTCAATCTCCCTGGCAACTAATCTTTCAGGCTAGGACAGGGGTCAGCAAGGAAACTTTTTCTGTGAGGGGCTAGACAGTAAATATTTCAGACACAAATTCAACTCTGCTATTGTAGCATAAGAGTAGACACAGACAATATATAAATGAATAGAAATGTCTGTATCTCAGAAAACCTTATGGACAATGACATTTGAATTTCAAATAATTATCACATACCACAAAATATTATCCTTCTTTTGATTTATTTTCAACCAATTAAAAATAGGTGAAAGCATTCTTGGCTTGCAGGTCATACAAAAAACAGCAGGTCAGATTTGGCCCCTGGGCCACAGCTTGCCAATTCCTTTGCTAGAAGGTAAAGGTACACTTGCTAAAAAAGCAACACTTACTATAGTGTCTGACAGATTTCTAAGTTACAGTGGAGACCTCAGGCAGAGCTGCAACTTCAGCAAATCTGAGCCTCTCCTGGGCTGGGGAACTTGCCCATATAATAACGGTGATGCCTTGCCTTCTCAGAGCCCTGTGGCCCACTCAGGCATTACATAATTGACAGTTCCGCTCAGGCTCGGTTTAGACAATTCAGAGCAACAAGTCACCCCATGAGCCCAGCTTGTGAGGCCTTGGACTGGGAATGAAACTAGTTGAAGAAAGAACAGAAACTAGTTCACCACCAAGGCACATCATCCCCGAGATGATGGTTGCCTTCACGGCCTCTGTGAGCTTCTGAGTACCAGGCATTTTCCCAAAAGAAACAACAGCAAAAGGGCCAACCAGAGTTCACTACATTCATGACATCTTGGCCAGACACCCTGAGTGAGAATCCCTCCAGGAAGGGACAACAATGTTTTTCTCGTGCTACACCTACAACACTAGGGTCAGGGCAGGCCACACAAGAATGTTCCTGGCATGTATACATATAGGATTTCACAGCTGTGAGAGCCTTAGGGTAGGGCATGGAGGGAACACACCCACTGCTTCAGTCTGCATAAGAGCAGCAGCCCAGAGCACTGGTGGGGCCTCAAGAACTTCTTAGCTTTAGGAGGAGCAGGGGCTCCACTCGCCCAGGGAGACTCACTGCGGGATCTGGCACACAACAGGAGAAGGGCACTCCGCACTTCTCACGGCTGTAGCTGGCACCGCTGCAGTTGAAGTAGACGTTGAGGTCCCAGTCTTCAGGGCCATAGGCACCACAGCACTGGTTCTGTAATCACAAAAGGAAAGAACAATCAGAAGCTCCAAGCCAGGGCCACAGCTGACCAGTATAGGGTGTCAGACTCAGTGACACTGGTGCGTGCCCATATCTACCATACAAAGAAATCAAGGCCCACCACACTACCTCCCATGTGCACAGGGAAGCTGAACTAGTGACCCAGGTAGCCCTTTTAAGAAGAAAATGGGCCAGGTAAAGTGGGGACCAAAGGAAGGCCCAAATTTTACCTGTACAATGATGACATATGTACCCAATCCTGAGTTGTACCCACATCTATAAGACAAATTAAGCTGTAAAAAAAGAAGAAAACAGGTATATCCCATGATTCTAAAACAAAATAACCTGGGCATGGTGGCTCTCGCCTATAATCCCAACATTTTGGGAGTCCGAGGTGAGAGGATTGCCTGAGCCAAGGTTCAAGATCAGCATGGGCAACTTGGCGAGACCTCGTCTCCACAATAAATAAAAAACATAGCTGGACAAGGTGGCCCACACCTGTAGTTCCAGCTAGTTGGAAGGATGAGGCAGAAGAATAACCTGAGCCAGCAAGTCGAGGCTGCAGTGGCCATGTGCGTGGATGACAGAGTGAGACTCCAACTCAAAAAAAAATTTTTTTTAGATAATAAGTAAAACAAAATCTTAAAAATATGGTGAACACTGAAGTCTGAAGAAAAATTAAGATGAAGAAAACAGGAATGCCGGGTGTGCTGGGGAGCCACCTGTGTCTCAGCTACTTAGGAAGCTAAGGCGGGAGGATCACTTGAACCCTAGAGTTCAAGACCAGCCTGGGCAACAGCAAGACCTCATCTCTAGAAATAATAAATAAATAAATAATAAAAAGAAGGAAATTGTAACAAAGGCGGCCCTGGCACCTCCTCCTTCCAACCACATGCCTTATTCGGTGGCGCCCCCGACCGAGCACAGGGCACGGTGCACTCAGCCCCAGTCCCTCCTCAGTCAGGAGCTGGCCTTTTCCCCCTTGCCCCGCCACAGGCCCCACCCCGAG